AGCTAATTTTTGCTATAACGAAAAAGGGTTTCCCCCCGCTTTATATTATAAAGCAACCACCAAGCATCCAACATCAAGTTACAGTACAATAAGTCATAGAATCATGCTGGGGGCACAGCAAGACAAACCCCAAAAGAGTACTCGGAGGCGCTAATCTGGCTCAGGAGGGGGCGGTGGAGGTGGCGGAGGAGGAGCAAAGGACGCCGCCGAGGCACGAAGACCCGCCATGATGCTGTTGATGACGGCTCGATCGCTCCGCTTACTAAGCGGTCTCCAAAGCTGCAGGAGGTCACACATTTTGTAGATCACATCAGTCACACGGGACGGAATCACTCGTTTGACGACTAATTTATTGCGGGTACACCAAAGGGACCAGGCAAAGGTGCCTAGCGCGACCCAAATAGGGGCGCGCCTGGACCCGGGAAGCCGGAGGGCCTCCCCGAACAAATCCGGTAGGTTGTCATGGCACCATGTGCCTCCAACTACCTCCCGAAAGCAGCTCCATAAAAACTGTGCCGCCGGGCACCGGAAGAAGATGTGGTTGCAGTCTTCCGGAACCAGACAAATGGGGCAAAGACCGTCCCCGGGTCCATTACGCTTACGGACCTCAGTGCCCGAGGGGAGGCGTCCTCTAACCCATTGCCATAAGAATATACGGATCTTTAGGGGGAGTTTGATCTCCCAAAGCACCGTGAGCTCCACTGGACCAGGCGTAGGCACAATCGCCTGGTACAGGGATCTAGTCGAAAATCTACTGCTTGGCTCGAGGTACCAGGATAGCGAATCCGGTTCCAGAGAAGGAGGATGAAGGGCAATGCATTCCAGTAACTCGTCCCATTGCGCAAGTTCGATCGCCCCGAAGGTGCGACGAAAGGCAATCGCACTTAGGTTCTCTAATGCCGCAGCCACAGAGATCTGTGGGCGAACACAGATAGAAAATAACGCGTAAAAACGCTCTGCAAAGGGGCGGGGTCCCGCCCATCGGTCCAGCCAAAAGAGGGTGGTAGATCCAGAGCCTATCTGGATGGAGGTCCCAATGCGTAGGACCGGAAGCAAAGATATCACCGATTGCCAGAATTGGGATCCTCCAGCCCTAGAGGCAAACGCGGGTGGTTGCCCACGAAGGTACTTCCTACGAATAATCTGAAGCCACAGGCCACCCTCCTCCGTCTGGATCCGCCAAAGCCATTTGGACAGGAGGGCAATGTTCATACGCTTGGAGGAGATGACTCCCAAGCCTCCTTGGTCCTTAGGTTTGTAGATCTCAGACCATTTGACCATATGGTACTTCTGCTTATTGTTCTCTCCCGCCCAAAAGAAGCGGGAAAGCAGTTTGGTAATTTCCTGATGAAGGGATTCATGAAGACTATAGAATCCCATTATATACATCAGTAGGCTAATAAGGGAGGAGTTCATCAGAATCACTCGAGCGGCTTTAGAAAGCCATCTCCCTTGCCAAGGCTCCATTCTAGGTTGGAGCTTGGCGACTATTGGGCGGAAATCCTTTTCCAGGAGTCGTGCATCGCTAAGGGGCACGCCAAGATAAGTCGTCGGGAAGGAGCCCAAGCGGCAATTCAGACGATTAGCAATCCGCTGGGCCTCCCTTTGGGAATATCCCATGACCATTACCTCGCTCTTGCCAAAGTTTATTTTGAGGCCCGACATCTCCTGGAAGCAGAGGAGGAATTTAAGGTTCTGGATATCCTCATCAGATCCCTCGACCATCATAATGGTGTCGTCCGCGTACTAGAGATGGGTTAGACCCCCAGGTGTCACCAGATGAGGGCAAATCCCCCTAATGTGACCCGCATGCTTGGCCAAATCCAGAATCGAGGCGAGCGCATCAACCACAAGGTTGAAAAGGAATGGGGAGATCGGGTCGCCCTGCCGTACCCCTTGGCCAGTCATGAAGTATGGGCCAACCTCCCCATTGATGTTAACCGCTGTCCGGCCACTCGTAACTAATTGCATTACCCGTGCTACCCAGTGGGGGTCAAAGCCACGCTTCAGCAACACTTCCCGAAGGAAGGACCAGTGCACCGTATCATAAGCTTTATGGAAATCGATCTTGAAGAAGACCGCACGAAGGTGTTTGCTCTTAACCTCATGGATAATCTCATGAAGAACAAGAATCCCATCTAAGATAAATCTCCCTTTCGTGAAGGCTGACTGGTTCGGATGATGAATCCGAGGAGCGACAAGGGCCGCCCTAGAGGCGTACCCTTTAGCGAGGATCCGAAAGATCACATTTAGGACTGTAATGGGGCGGAATTGTCTAATGTCCGCCGCTCCCGGTACCTTGGGGATCAAGGAGATAATCCCGTAGTTAAGTCGGGACATATCTAAGGTACCCTTAGAGAGCTCGCTAAACAGGTCGAGGATGATATCCTTGACCATCGGCCAGAAGGCCTGGAAAAAGCGAACCGGCAGGCCATCGGGGCCAGGGGCTGACGTCGGGTTCATAGCTTTAACAAGGGTCTCCACTTCCGCAGCATCGAAGGGGGCTAGCAGGATTGCATTTTCGGCGGGGGAAATCTGTTGGTCACGTGACCAGAAATGGTCAGCTAGGGCGACACCATTCCGCTGCCGACCCTGAAATAGACTTGTAAAAGTCGTCAACTAGCAGGCGAATAGCCTGAGGGTCTTGAAACAACTGTCCACCCTCCCAGAGGAGAGGGATGGAGCAACGTCGCCTCCGGCCATTGGCGATGGCCTGAAAGTAGGCAGTGTTGGCATCCCCAAATAGTACCCAGTTAATTTCTGCTATAGGGTGGGAGTTAAGTAAACTTGATGTTCTGCTTTTACCCCAATGATGGTTCATTGATGACACCATGTTTAGTTGAGTCCCAGCCCACGATGGGACATTCTTGGTTTGCCCATAAAATTTATATTTTTCACTTTTGACTCTCAAGGGTCAAGGCTATGAAGTACTGCAAAGCCATATTCATGTACACTTTTGTTGACATCTTTGACCTTTCCTTCAAATAAAAGTAACTGAGTTGCCTAATGATATGTGGGGCCTTTACCAAGTAATACTCCCCTTGTTTTTAACATAATATAGAAGGCCACTTCTTTTGAACATAATATAGAAGGCTAACATCTATTGCTAACTTTGGAGTGTGGTTACTACCTGTGTATTTCAACAAATAATTTGCTTTTATGAGATTATTATTTGCTCAAAGCTTTATTATTTTGTGTTCTTATGTTAAATCAGGAGGTTGTGAGACCGATCTCAAACAAAGGTTCACCTGAAGCTCACGAGGAAGAAATGATTCGAGCTGCTGTAATAAACTGCTCGGCCATTGCCACAATTCAACCAAGAAGCGCTTCCACATTTGATATCACTCTTCCAGAATATCCTGATAAGAAGTTTGTCCCAAATTTTCCACTCGTTATGAGAGATGAGCTAATGGAGGATAGTGGCATGACCCTGAACCCAGGAGGAGTCAGAGAAAAGGCTTGGAGAGATAGTTGTCTGCCAGATCTCCCGAGCATACATCTACGCAGGTTAAATGGGTGCAACTTATTGGAGCTCTGTAAGGATGTACTTACTGGGTTAACTCACGAAATGTCAGAGAGAAGGGCTGCAAATATCATGTTGTTAGCCTGGAACATGAGACAATTCGATATGGTGTCTCATGTATTTCCTGCTAAAAACCCTTGTGCAGCTGCAGCAGACATAGACATCAATACTTTGAGAGCACGAGCGTTTGGGGGAAGTCATGCTCATACATACCCATATGTTAGGCCAGAGGGCATTGAAGATGATCAGTATGTTGCTGCATGTGCATACATATCGGCCAGTACACTCCGCTTGTTCACAAAGTCACCTGAGAACTACATGACTGCAGTTGCTAAGCACATTCCCGGTATGTTCTACAGGTTTTATAATACCGACTTTCCGCTTACCGGGTTTAAGCCAGATAAGAAATGCATTGAGGCCCTAAAACTTATATACGAGACAAAGTCGGTCTACAGGAACACCTTGGCCCCTTTCTTGTATGAGTTCAAGGGTCTTGGAGATGCAAAGAGAATGTGTCAGATGCTTTATGAGCAGGACTTGGCTTTTACAGGACTACATGCTGTAAACTTATACCTGCGTGCTTGTTTTGGACTACATGCATCACTCATTCAGCTAGGAGCATGTCTTTGGCATCAGATGACGAAGAACACTCTTATTTCACTGTGCAGAGTCTGCAGAACCTATGTTGCCAATCCATCTGTGGAGAATTCAAGAGAGACATGGAAATATGCACGATTATATGGTACTGAGTATTTTCCTCTTCTTAAATCCGACAAGTGTAATCTTCTTTTATGCTGCCTGGCCATTATTTGCAAGAAGCTTGGAATAAGTGAAAATCAAGATATGATGGTAATTGCATGGACGAGGAAGGCTGAGTTTATATGGAAAAAGTCAAACGTTTGGGCAAATAGGGCAGTGCTCTGGTTCAGAGCAAATGCTTCAGTACACCATGGCAGATCACAGGAAGTATCGTCAAGGATTTGGGATGATGCACCGTCAAAGAAAAGGAAGAGGGATGATGAGACCCAAGATACCAGAGTCGCAAAATCCAGAAGTCGGAATCTTCATTGAGTCATTCGCAGCTGGTGAATGACTCTAGGCCTCGTCCAGACAATGGTTGCGCACAATTGTAGATTTTGGGAAATTATACTGTGTCTCTTGGAACTGCAAACCATTAAATTGTAGTGCTAAGATTAGCATGTGGATCTGACTTGATGGTAATTTATCCTAGTAGATGTTTTCAGTTATTAATTCTACTTCTCAGTGCCGTGCGATATGTTGGCTGCACTCAAGCTATCTGATCTGGCTGGGGTTGCAACGGTAGTGGCTGGATAGATTATCATAATGAAACTTCTCCCAAGTATCTGATTTAGGGATAAGGCTGTACAGTTTTGGTAAACTAAAACAGTGTGAGCCTTGGCACGAAGGCTCGATGAAATTGGGTCATCTCTGTTTCCTAGTTTCTTCGGTTGATAGTCTAGGTATGGTCTTCAGTTGCGAAATCTGTTGGGAGAGAAGAACTGAATACCCTGTCCTTTGCCTTATCCGCCTGAAATAATTCAGAGTTTTAGACCGCCTGTAAATTATAGATCAGCTCGAATTCATCTATTTCTGCATTTATACCTCTCTATCCCAGTCTGTGCATATCGTGATGGTCATGAGCAACAGGACTTGCACCATCAGGCCACAGATGATGCCCAACCAGAGCCCCTGTTTGGTTCAAGGATAAAACCCACAGCATCAGTCACCCCAAAACCACTGCCCCATAGGCACTCAATTCAAATTCAGGGCAGCAAAAGGGAAAATTTTGATCATTTGAGGGGACAAGATGTACCGTCCCGCCGACTTGCAAGACAAAGGCTATGAGGTAGGCCGAGGGGATGCCGACGATATAGTAGGCACCAAGATTGATCCAAGCACCAATCTTCTGCCATCCACAGCCTCTAGCCACCCCTGCACATCACAACAGAACATCTTATCTTTGCTTCAAACGCAGGCATGTCTATGATTTCTGGTTTCTGTGCTTAGTACTGCCTCCGTTCCATATTAGTTGTCGCTAATTTAGCAAATTTATACTAAATCAACGGCAACTAATATGAAACCGAGGGATTAGTAAATATCATCTAGCAACGAACTCGAATGGCAGCTACTTAAGTTTTGCACTCTCGTGTGGCGAAAAGATGTCGATAATCTGTACCTGAAAGCACGCACTGGATTCCGTCGAAGAAGTTGGACACCGAGATGATGAGCATCATCCAGGCAACGTAAGTCACAACCTCCTCCACGTCGCTGTAGGCATGCCCCCAGACGTATCTGATGCAGATCAGCACCAACCCCATGATCAGTCCTTCCGCCATGGCCAACAAGACGACGACACGCACCGCAAGCCGGGCAGCGTCGGGGCGCCCCGCTCCGAGCTCGTTTGAGACACGGGTGCTGCATGATCAGTAGAGATACAGATCGATCTGATGAGCAGGGCTGTAGCACAAGCCGTAATATAGTCAAGGACAGTAGGTTAGTAGGGTGTGGTACAAGTTTACCTTATGGCAGAGCCGAGGCCAAAGGGGATCATCCATACGAAGGCAGCGGTGTTGAGGCTGCCAAGAACAAGAATGCACATGTGTTTCTTCAACCGGAAAAAAATTCAGTGTAACATGTGGTAACTTCGGTCTGCCATTAATTACCTGATGGACAGCACCGAAGTCTCCAGCTTTGGATTGGGAAGAAGGCCTGACAGGAGCACTATGAGCTCGAACGACCACATCTCCAGGCTGCAATTGCACCATCAACATCATCATCATCATCATCATGTGATCCACATTTTGTTTGTGTGATAAATATCTGGCAACTTCAGGAAGAGTAAAATAAATATAGCAAGCTCACCAGACCATGAGGGCCGACGGGACGGCGAGCCGGAAGAAGCTGAGCACGTCGCGGAACGCCTCCGTGGAGAACCCCGTCCACGTCTCCTTGCAGGAGCCCGACACCCTGACGTACACAGCCAGCACGATCACGTAGACCCAGTAGGAGACGGCGTTGCTGAGCGCGGCGCCCTTGCTGCCCATCCCGGCGACGTACACGAGCAGCCAGCAGACGAGGAGGTGGAACGCCGCGGCCGCGCCGGCGCTCGCCATCACCGGGAGCACGATGTTCTGCGTCTGCAGGAACCGGACATGGCATTGCAGCAGCCCGTACGCGAAGATCGCCGGGATCATCCAGCGCGCGTAGGTGCCGGCCTCCGCGGCGATGTCGGGGTCCTGCCCGAACAGGAGCAGGATCTCGCCAGTGTAGAACCACACCACGGCCAGGGGGATGCTGACCAGGGTGAGGATCACCATCGCCCGCTGCTTGTAGACGCCGAGGAGGTGGTATTGCCTGGCTCCGTATGCTTGGCCGCAGAGGGTGTCCAGTGCACTCGCCATTCCAAGCTGATCAAGGTGGTAGAAAATGCGAGGGCTAGCTGTTAAACTTGCAACAGGGGAAAAAAGAATCCATCACGTCCGTCCATAACAGAGCCTCCTTTTCTTGAATCGGTCCCCCCCTCACCCCATGTGTTGTGTGACCAAGAGTGAATCGATAGGATGAGTCGATGGACCACATACTCACCGGGTGCCCTTCTGCACCATTTGATACGCGGTCCTTTCCTACTCCCTCAGTTTCTAAATGCAAGTCTTTATAGAGATTACACTAAGTGAACTCCATACGGAGCAAAATGAATGAATCCACACTTAAAATGCATCTATATACATCCGTATATAATTCATAGTGAAATCTCTACAAAGACCTAAATAATTAGGAACAGAGGAAGTAGATCCGATCTATCCATCGGCACGTTGAGTTAGGTTTGCGGATTGTTGAGATCTGAGATGAGGCCATTACTCCTCCCCTATAACGGTGTGCAAAGGCACGTCAACTGATTGTGCTCATTAGGGAGGTGAATTCAGCTTGGCAACTCACTATGACCTTTTTTCCCACTCGCCATCGTCGCCATTGCTCATTAGGTTAGGGAGGTGGCGATGACAGGGCTCCTCCCCACGGATCCATGTATTTAGTTTTCTCAATGGGTTGCTCTTTCCTTATGAGGCAAGGATGCAAAAGGTCATGAAAGTGAGATTGCTGACTGAAATCTCAATGGCCGGCATTTGGGCTTTGCACCTATGATTTGGTGTTCACACTAGGAGCCCGTACGCACATCAGGACGACCGGCATCCAGTTAAACTAAAGTTGCACTTCTTAAACACAAGACATATATGGCAAAATCTCACTCGACTTAGACGCACAACGACTCATTTGTTTTTGAGTGCCTTTCCTGTTGAGTATTTTGTATTTTGGTTGCATCTTGCAGCCTGCGCGTTATGTTATTGTGTGTACTCCTTGTCTCCCTCTGTCTAGGTGAATAAGTCATCTTAGGTTGTGCACCGTGACCAAAGAGGAGGGAAAAACGAGAGACTTTAATGTTTAATTATTAATTAATAGCATTGCTGCAATGAACTAACCACTACATGTCATGTTTGGTAGTCTCAAGTCATTAAAAACTTGCACACCCTCATCTCTCATTGGTTGATATGTCAAAAAACAAGAAACGAGGTAGAAGTTAATGTACCACGCCTAAGTGTTTTGAGATTATTTGATTTTCATGAGATGACTTACACATCTAGAAGGAGGGAGTATCTCTGGTTGGCGGAGGGACTGAGATTTGTAAAAGGATTCTTCGCCTTAGGAAAAATAAAAAACTTTGGTCGAGGACAAGATATGACAAGTATGTGCGTGTACCACGTGGATGCATCTGTCAGTAAATATAGCTATAAAATACCATGGTGTTGTTGAAATGGCCTCAACTGGTTCTCGTTTAGACAGCAACTGAATGAACAAATATTGGAGAATGACTGGCCTTTGTTGTGGTCGCCCAAAGCAGAGGGAAGTCCTAAAGCAGACAATAACGCGCATAGACCAGGCCACCATCATAGTACCCTAGACACAGACATTTTCTATATAAAACATACTGTATCTCCGACCCTCTACACGAGGAGAAGGGTCACACTTCAACAATGTCCGTGCGTGGACTTTGATCTTAGGAGGAGCTAGACCAAGATCACTAGTGTTGTGGCACACCCGGCCGATGGTCTCTTTGTGCAAACTATCAACATAGTATCGGAGGTCTGGAACCCGGACGAAATTCCATCCTCCAGGCGCAAGCCGCTTTGAGCTTACGTACGTACAGCCGTGTGATGCCCGAGTGGAGCGGAGTAACTACAAGCTGTGGTGTTGGTGAGCGCACGTACCAGGAGGCTGAAGCCGGTGACGGTGGCGAAGGAGCTGGCCATGGAGGCGCCGGCGAGGGCGAGCTCGCCGAGGTGGCCGACGTACATGACCGAGATCATCTGGATCAGGTTCTGCAGCAGCGCGCCGGCGATGAGCGGCCCGGCCAGCCACAGCTGCTTCTTCACCTCGTCGCGCACCCCCAGCCCCAGGCCCTCGTCGCCGCCTCCATCCGTCGCGCGGCTCGCGACCAGGAGGGCTTCCTCCAGGCCTTCCTTCGCCATGCCGGTCGAGCACGAGCAGCTCCCCTGTCGGCCACTTCCCACGCTCTCGCTCTCTCTTGTGTGCTGTGACACGAGTGGAAGAGAGGAAAAGATCGATCGAGAGTGAGATCGTGTGTACTTAAGTCTCACAAATTGACGAAGCAAAAACAGACAAACAGAAGGACGAAATGTCTGACTCAATTATTTCAGAGCATCGCTTTTGGTGAGCAGCTAGGACTGAAACTCTTCAAGATTTTCCTCGATTGGCCAGGAATACCCCTCGGTGTCAGGACGGATAGTGACATACTGGCATGGCACCAATCATGCTGTGAACGTGCAGAACAACACTGTGCAATAAAACCAGCAGCTACAAGCATGTGCCATCAGAAAAAACAAGGACCTTGATATCTAGGAATGTTCGATCTGAGCAGGTTGCACATCGAACTTAGGTTCGCTACGAGCAAATCATCCACGCAAACGAATAGAGGGACAGTGTTATCTCTTGCCCATCAGGGTAAGTCCCAGTGCTCGCATTACTTTTGAATTTATTTCAGAATTTCAACGATGCGCTTTCAGTGAAAGGATACGTTTCCGTCGACGATGAGGCAGGTGAGTGTATACGTGTATGTATGAGCGCTTGCGTCTATATTGTGTTAAAAAACACGTTTGATATGAATGGCTCTTTTCCATAAGGTAGCTACGTTTTTATTGAGCAATGGTTACAAGGATTACATCTTTTTTAGATAAGAGGCCTACGCCCAGCGTTAAATTAATGACGGCCATACAGACAAGGACATGAAGCCCTAACATACATATTAGTGGGCACCTCACTATCTAAAGTCTTGACTGTTGGGTTCTATGCTAGGTGCATCGGCTACAAAATAAAAAAATTCTACGCGCAGAACAACCAGGAACATGTTATGGGAATGGATCACGGATCATTACCACTAGACGCGCAGTGCCGTGTAGCGAAAGTAGAGTTGGAGAAGCGTGTCTAGAGTCGTCTCCTCGTCCGATCTCCCTCGCGCAGCCGATCGTCGGATCCCACGTATAGGTTCGCTAGAGCGACGCAAGTGCACCACCTCTGAAGGTATTCACGCATGCAGGAGGAACAATGTGTGGTGGACTGCTAGGTCCTATCATACAGTCTGCAGCGAGTGGAGGTGGCTACTTGCAACACATGCAAAGCCCTAGTGACGGTGCCGAAACGGTCAACTGAATGAGTGTGCCACACCTCCACTATATATAGGCATCCGTCGCGGGCTCAATAGTTAGGCCTCGCACGGATCTTAAATCTCAAATTCTGTTTAGCCTGGATCCGAGTCCGAGTATGATCACCTCCGACCTGCCCGACTGGTAGTGGCCTCTATCAAGGCGTGCCGACCACCAAGTAGACAATGAAGCCGGTTGGTGAACCTGTACAACATGCCACACTTTTGTTCCCTTTGCTACACGATATATGTTGTCGGGCTCAAGGCAAATTTGTCATCCTTGTGCTAGCCCGACCTCTTTCTCGTTCAAGTGATGTCGACCACACAATGGACTATCTCATAATTCTTGTTGCATGGCTACGCTTATCTGGCACACGATGGGCCCAGAGTATATCTCTCCTGATCGGAGTGACAAATTCCATCTTGCTCGACCATGTCTCACATCATGGGTCTGGACAAGCCCGAAACCTACCTTTTAACTACCTAGTCATGGAGTAGCGTTTGGTCGGCTCAAAGCAGGCATGTCGCCATCCCGAGTACATGTTCCAGCTCAGGTCTTAGGACATAGAACTTATGTTGTACTAGAGACTCACAGATGACCTATCGATGTGTCCTATAGTCGGGTCTGTCCGACTCGGACCTTATCTCGACTCGGATCTGACTATGTCGAATCCAACCAGATCCTTCCGAGTCCATATTATCTGGACTTGGAATTAAATTTGGTAGTCTCCTAGTCCCCTCTCCTCCTCCCTCTCTCCTCCTCCCTTTCTAGTCGACCTCTTCGATCCTTTCAACTTTACATTCAAGAAAAAACACTCATATTTCCATCCAATCAGCAAATCTACCTTATTCCAGACAAGTGAGCTCGGAGGTTCCAGGGTATACTTCATGCACACCATTGCATGTTTCGAGGCCAAGTTTTATACACAAATAAAGGTACGTCAACCAATCAGTGTACACGAAATCATTTTCCTCTCGTCCCTGGCGGCTGGAACCCTAGCCGCTGCCAGGATATGCCAATCTTCGAGCGCTGTCCTCCAGCGGCTCCCCTCTGCCGGCGACCTCGGTCATCCGTGGTGAGGTGGGTTGCCGGATCGACGCGTATGGATCATTTTTACTCCCTCGTAGTCTAGGTTTTTAGGTTGTTCATCGTCTTGCTTCGGCGGCGGCAATGATGACGCTGAATAAAGATTCTTTGGATCCTTCCCTGACGAGGCCATCAGTCCTATGGTTGGGGATGGATTTGAAAACCAATTTGTTCAAGCAAGGATGACGTGGCGGCGGCGGCATCCTCGTGGTGGACCTGTGTCCTCGTACTCTGCCGTTGCGATGTTGTTTGCCAACGTCGGCGCGGAGCTTGGGAGGTAGTATAGGAGCGGATGCAGATTGTGGTCTGCATCGATGACATATAGAAGACGGAACGTGTGCTGGGTTCGTGGTTCGTGGATGGCAGGTATGGTTTCCTCCTTCGGCATCTTAGTCGTGGTGGGGTGCCAGATCTGGAGTTCAATGGCATGTCCGGGGTGTTGCCCCGGTCTAATTCGTTCAACGGCAAGGGTTTCACTTGTGGTGAGCCACCTTGGAGGTCCACAAAACTGCATATCAGTGATGGAGCCGCGTCGAGCTCGTGTGAGGAGGTGATCTGTCATTCTTTTCTTCGGTGGCTGCTGTGGTGGTGCCGGAGGCAGGTGGCGGACGTTGGTGTCAAGCTTAGAGATGCTCTAGTATCTTTTCAGCCTTGTCATATCAGTACTTACGCGACTTGTACTTTGATCTTTATGATATGAATGAGACATATATTATCATGAAAAAAATATACACAAACCATTGCAATGTGTTTGTTAGAGCATCTACAACCAGACATCTCAAAACCCGCCTCATATGCCTGGGCTGGGCGCCCGGTCACTGCCTAGTCACGATTTTTTGACCCAGCCGGGCGCCTCAAACAGGCCTCAACGTCACTGCCTAGTCATGATTTTTTGACCCAGACGGGCGCCTCAAACAGGCCTGAAACGCCCGGGCTGACCAACACCCCTCATATCCAGCCCAAATATGAGGCGGAAATGAAGGCGCCAGGGCACGCCCGCCGACCCCGCTGCAGGTCATAGCGGTCCCACCTGCAGCGACATAAGCTCCTCCATCTTTCATCGGTGCAACCAAATTTTAGTCTAACATCGTCGGCCAAGGCGGACGCCACCCGGCTTAAAAAGCTACGTCCGCGGATGGTGGCAAGCTTGGTTGCTGTTGTGTAGGTCTATCCATTCTGGCATGTGTGATCAAGATATATTTGACACTAGATTGCATTTCATTGACTGATGATTGCTCATCGAGTGTCAAGTTTGTTTCGATCATATTCATTGATACCTCTACTACAATAAAAGTAGATTTTTTTCATGCATGGACGTGATTCAAAAAAAGACAAGATGACACCAATGTTCCCTTTGTTAAGGATATAGACCTTGACTATGAATCTTCTATGTGATAAACATAGAAGATTCATCAGTCATAGTAAGAGTCCATATTCTTAACAAAGGATACAATGATGTCAGAAGTTTGTCCCTTCTGGACGATCCGGATATTTAAACTGGTCGACTAGCTCATCATTAGACGAGGTGGGATTAATACGGGTGTGAAAATACTAAGCGTGAGCAATTTCCGGTGCCTAACCGGCCCAAGACGGACAGGATGATCGACGTGTATGGCCATGCATGTAACAGATGTTTTGAAAATAAGATACACGATTGTAAATTGTAAAATATGAGGCACGCCCGATCACTGTCCGCGGGCGTTTGAGGGTCCAAATTTGCAACCTCCGGCTATAGATACTCTTAAGCCCGACAGTAGCGCGGAAGTGGAACATCACGGACCCAATTTTGTGCAGCGTAATGTTTGGCTCTAAAGGTTGCCCACGACTTCTAGTTGAGATGATCTAAAAGGCAAAATTATTCGTCCCGACGAGTCACACAATTTTCATGGTGATCATCTTTTTCCGTTGGAAGCCATCTTAAGGATGAATCTTGCAAGCTGTTAAGAATAAAGCAACGTTATCATCACTGCTCTCTGGCGAGAGCGATTCCTACGAGAAAAACAGAGCACGAACAGGACGAGAGAGAAGATAAGATGGCAGGTATGAACCTGCAAAACATCGCCTCTGCACTTGTTCGTTTCATCCGATGAGAAACCATCGATCTGAGAGACGACAAAGGGCTGGAGTTTATCACCCTTGGGGCCCAGGCAACGGCCGCCGTGGTCGTCGTGGCCGCCGTGGTCGTGGTGGTGGTCAGAATTACCCTGGCCCTGCCGCGGCAGATTAGGCAGGACCAGGCAACCCGCCCGCGGCTGTCCACCATGCCTACCAGGCACCTCCGATGCCGGCATTCGTCGCTCCGCTAATGGACTGGGCTCCCGCTGAGGCTGCAGCCCCGTTACTGGGCGAGGATTTCTTCGACACCGCTCAGGCCCCGCCACCGCCAGGGATCTTCTTCGGCAATGACATGGATGCAGGTGTGGCCTTCTGTCCGGTGCACGGATACGGACCTTGCCCTGCCCGCGATTTCTGCCCCGTGCATGGGTACGGGCCGTGCCCTCCGCCGCCGGCCAGTCCACCACCGGAACCGGAGGTCATCGACGAGCCGCTCGCCTACCCGAACCTCCCAACACCGACGCCCGCCGACGAAGACAACGAGCACTTCGCCCCTCCAGGCTATGGCCCTGTGCCCGCCATGATGGAGTGGGAGGTGTCGGTGTCAAAACCGGCGGATCTCAGGTAGGGGGTCCCGAACTGTGCGTCTAAGGCTAATGGTAACAGGA